TGGCTACTACTAAACCGCTTGACATTTCTCAGGGGAAGTAGGCTACAGTGAAAAACAACTGACTCAGAGGTTGATATAGGAGTATATTCGACGCTGACATTCATCCACTATACATTAAAGGTTCTTAATTCCATCTTTGTCACTAGTAGGCTGCTTTCTAATGAATTGCGGGAACGAAAAGGAGTAGGCTCTTCGAGTGCCGATCGTGGAAAAAAAGACCGGAGACGACTGGCAAATTACCAAAATACACTGGAATCAAATATTCAAATGTTCACCCGTAGACGACAGAAGAAAGCGGAACTCACATGCATATTCGCACTAGGTGCATCATGCTCTCTTGCGTAACTACGGAGCTCATTTGGATACTATTGGGATGTGGGAGGGAGAGGGGGGGGGAACATGGGGAACACCTGGGCACTTCTAGCGCGCAGTGATACGAGCGATATGATATTCCAAGTTGATACACCAATGATTCGGTTCATTTTTATGGGAAGCGACTGACCGCAAGAGGCCTGAGCGTACGGGATATTGTTAGTTACTAAAATAAATGGTCTGGAGCAGGCTTCTAACTCTGCTGGGCTGGTAAGGAAGTCATTGAAAATCTCGAATGCATCGTGTTCGTACTATGGTCAGCGCACAAGGCGCCTTGTGAACTTTTAACCACACTCCCCAATCTGAGCCATTTTGCCATTCCAGAAGTAGCGCACCTTTGACATCAAGATAAGGTCGGAAGGAGAAAAGGATGATACGATTTCGATCAAACTTTCTGGAACTGCTGAGAACTGCAAGCGGCAGCTATAAAAGATAGAGATGTTCTGGGCAGTATATACAGAACCTTTCTATGACTTCCGCTTCTTCTTTCTTCATGCTCACACTCATTTAGAATGGGAAGATCTGGGACGTGACGAGGCGAGTAGCCCGAAGAAAAGGTGATTTCGGCTGCTCCTGTGAATAAATTTGGTCTGCGCTTTTGAGGGATCGATGGCCGTGCTGGAGAAATTATTCGTCATGCCTCGTTTTCATGTGAAAACGTTCCATAGCGGACACCTCCAAATGCCCCAACCAGGAGTATCTGCGTCAGCACCATCATAACTTCGCCACTTGAGGGGACAAGCAGGGGGATGGGAGCATTCAATATTAAGAGAAACAAGAAGGGTGAAGGTAGAAAAGATATTACAAGCTGTGGGTTCCCTCTACAGTGGTTGTTGTTGTGAACAAATCGAAGGTGGGACTCTTCCCAATCTAGGCTAGCGGCCTGCAGAGTTTGTGACATGATCCGAAAAAGGTTGTGTAAGTAGGGAAAGGATTAAAAATTAGGATATTTTCTCAGCTGCTCTCCCCCGCCATCACGATATCATCTGTCCCCATTTACATTTCTCCCCGCTCCCCCTACTCTTAACATTCTACATTCAGAAGTATGCAGCTGAAGCTTCTGGCGATTCTTGAATCGCAATGTATTAGGGTTGCGTAATCACACTGTGGGAACGATTGAAAGCAATTCAATGCTGTATAACTTTTAGTTGTTCACACTTGAGAGCGTTTACAATGAAATCAGTTCCTGAGAGGCAGGGTCTAACACTTGAATAACCATTACCATACATTATGTGTCCCCATAATGTACTACTCTCGTCTAATATTCGTGCAGGCGAAAAATGGAAAGGTGATTTGGTCGAGGAAATTCAAAAATTTGTCAAGTTCTATCACCAATTTCCTTTTTGCTTCGTTGCAGCTAGGAGAACCCTGCGAAGGTTGTTTTTCGATAACAATGAAGTATCTGGAAAACGAGGTGTGCGACGGAAGTCCACGAGGGAATCGAGTTAACGCGAAGGCATTGAAGCAAAAAAAGAAATGTTCATAAAAAAGCCTAATCTGTTCCAAATCTCCTTTTACATTCCTGAAGGGAACGAAAGCGATAGCTCGCTGTCCACACATGTGAAGTGAAATGAGACGCGTGTTTGTTCGAAGTCTACTTCAGAGACGTCCCACCGATTACTGTCCCCTCCCCTCCAGCCCGCTGTGGAAACGAGAATTTCGACTACATACTGCGGACGTCCATCAAAGAGAGAATTGAAGGCGATTTTATGAGGGTTCGCGCAGCGGGCGGCGCCCGTCGCGGCCTGCTCTTGATTATGCGCATTGTGCCATTCCGGGAAGCTCATTTCGCTTTGGCATGCCCCTCTCTCCAACGCTCTTCACAATTTGTAACAGCCGCGACTTGTTCAGGAAATTTGGCAACGTTCAAGAGCTAGAGCTTTTCAAGAGCGGCTAGCCACATTTGAGCGTCTCTTTTCGAAGCCCTCCTTGTGAAGTTAGTACTAATTTGGGTTCAGTTATGTATTATAGCTCTTGCCTTTCCAGCACTTTCCACCTGTACCTCTTCTTTTAGTTCATGAAAGGCTATGAAGCTTTTGTTGAGGATTTTAGATAGAGATAAGGGGCTCAGGTCGCTTTGCCGTTCTCAAGACCCCTTCCTTCATTTGACCATCAACCACTGGGACCCCACCATTGCTCACAAGTTGTCTTTTTTCTCGACTTTGCTTAAATGTAATTATATGAACGCTTCTGATTCCGTTCAGTTCGGTTTTTTGATATCTCCCTGTAAATTCCACAGCAACCTATTCCAGATTTTTCCACAATAACTGCTATTTTAGCTGATCATGCCATGACAGAATGATACCGCAGTCTTTGATCCTCGTCGTGCTTTATGCTCTCCAGAATGCGGTCACCTATAAAATCGGTTAGTTGGAATCTTCTCCTCTTCGCGTAATTATCGGAACGACATTTGTTCGAGGGCAATTCGAAATAATTACGCTTTATTGTGGAAGAGCCGGCGATCCACTGGAATACGTTGGAGAGCCCGAAAAAGCTAAAACACATAAAGACAGTGAGCGAAAGTTATGGCTCACATAATGGAGCTTGCCGATCGCCTGCGCTCCGGCGAAGTAATGAGCCGTAGCTTTTCACGAAACGAGGCCCTCCTATTCTCACGGAAGTCATAATCAGTTCTTGCTGAGAACTAACAGAATTCGATCCTCATACGTTGTAGTTTGTCAGATTATCCTTTGTAAAGAGTGATTGGGGTACATCCTTTGTAAAGAGTGATTGGGGTACTCCAAACGTTGTGGAGTCCCAAGCGGGGGTCGTATTTGGTCGCTGAGGGAGGGGTAGTCGATTTGGTTCCGACTAAGAGAAATATTTTCGATAGCTGATTTTTCTTGTTTCAGGGGTACTACTCATATCGTTTGGGAATTTCTAAGGGGAGCGGGTCGTCTCGGGAAAGGGACTTCAGGGGGAGAAGTTTCCGAAAGTTGTCCCCAGCGGCAAGACGTACCCATAGAGAGCCACCAACCCCATCCTGACAGTCACGCAGTCACATTTTCAGTGAGATGGATTAGGCTGCGTTCATACTTTGCGGCAGCGTCCACTACCGTTTCGAGCGTCCGGCAGCGTCAGCGACTAGGAAAGGAAAGATCCATTTAGCGTCTGTTAGCGTCTGCCAGCGTGCACCAGCGTCTCCCAGCGTCCGGGAGAGGAGAATATGGCGCGATAGGAGGGTAGCAGACAGCTGGTAGAGTATGGGGAGATAGGTGGCAGACTGCTGGTAGAGAGTATGGCGCGATAGGAGGGTACCAGCTGTCTGCTACTCTCCTATCGCTCCCGGAGGAGGGAAAACTCACCCATGCGCGTATGCGGCGCGGTTTCTTCACGGCGGCGGCAGGGCGGAGCGAAAGGCGATGGCCCGCGTCTCCGGCGCTGTGCTCCAATCCAGCAGCCTCTTTTATGTGGAAGGAAGAGGAGGGAAAAGTAGAGAGAGGAAGGGAATTGAACAGATAGTGGGTGCATATGTGAGTTAGTGGTAGTGGTAGGAGATCACAGAAAAGTCGACTATCACGAATTACTTCAGTGAATGGCAGAACTGGCGGCATAGTTCCCTTCGATTGTGAAAACGACGCAAGCAGCTTTTACACGAAAGTTCAAGCTGAGGTTTGGCAAATTGCCAACAGTTGGTTGTGACCTTATAACGCTATAACGTCACGTCCCATTCGAAGGGAATCATTCTGCCAGTTCCGCTGTTGACTGAAATAATACGCTCTGATTCTCGACTTTTCTGTATTCTCTGCTCACCATTACCACTAACTCACCTATGAGCGTTCACTATTTGTTCAATCCTCTTTTCTCTCCTCCTCCTTCCACATAATGGGGCATAAAAGGGGCTTCTGATTGAAGCACAGTGGCGGAGGCGCAAGCGATCACCCTTCGCCCGCCCGTCGCCGCGGTGCCGTGAAGAAACCGCGCCGCATACGCGCACGGGTGAGTTTGTACACGGAGCCTATCGCTCCATAGACTCCCCACGAACGCTCGCGCACGCTGCACAGGTGCACGCTGGCAGGAGCTGGATCAATACCTACACTTCCCAGGCCCTCGAGACGCTCGTTGACGCTGGTGCACTTTGGGACACGCTGGTCAGGCTGGTAGCGATAGCAGACGCTAGATCGATATCTATACTTTCCCAATCGCTGATGCAGCCTTATTTTCAAGAAGATATTACCTCTAATTACTGCCAGAATAATTCTAAAGAAGACAAATCGTGAATGATCGTTCAGAAGACTCGAACGTTGAAGATCGCTTGTTCTTTTGCGATGTTCCTTTGATTTTTAGCGGTTATCGATGACGCGAGTACGATAGAAGATTAGTATCGGGATGAAACCTCCATTTGCGTGAGTAATACCCTGAAACTCAGTGTACGGGATATTTCGATTATATGGAACTTCTAGATTACTGTATTTAGATTTATCTGCAATTTCTGATGTCTTGTTTGTTCTCATAAAAGTACTGTTTGAATACAATTTACGGCGGGTAACGAAGTTTTCGCATGTTAGAATTTCGCACGAAGAGTTCAAGAAGTTAGCATAAGTCTGGTACTCTGAACCAGTAGTCGACCGAACAAATGGGTTGTAAGACGGGATCTGCGAAAGAAATTGTGTTGAAATAAATAACTAATGACGGGTTTGTTTTGTAGCCCCTGTCGTCGCCCCTTCCTTGCTGTTTAGGGTCTGGAGTAGGTGGCCCACAAGATTTGCGAGCAAATCACTTACGATCAAGTGCCATCAGCATCGCTAATCACGAAAAAACAACTGACCATGAGTCACTTCCTCATTGTAGCGTCAAATGGGTCAGCAGCTTAGTCTGAATATTGTGCTGTCCCGGGCCTCATGAGTATCTCAATCTTATGAATCAAAGAAATGGGCCCGCAAAATGTTCATTGCAGTTTAGCGCAAAAGTCTCAAGAGCAGCTGAAAAGCCCCTGTTATGTTTAATACGCCTAGCACCTTCGGTAACCTCATCGGATTGTGTATGCCTGCTATTACGGTCTAGCTAGCTCCATGGATGCCTCTTGGAGTTATGTACTGCAGCGAGAAGTGAAAATTTCAGTGCAATTGGCGTACAGTACTAACTTGTAAATGAATGGGACTCACAGGCAAGGGTCAAGGAAGGACTGATTCCCACTAAAAACTCGTTTCTTCCTAGGAGGCAGGGCATCCATGAGTAGCTACGCCGAGATAACAGGGAGACCCAAGTCGCTGAAAAAGGTTTCAGACAAATAGTGAACTGACCAGGGACACTAAACTTCTGCCGACTGCCCGTTGATAATACAAACACACGGGGCCTTATTGAGCAGGTGGCGTGAATCCGTTGAAGTGGTTCCCAATATTGAACTAGCTAAACCTGTACTGGAAAATGACTTAATTCTCTCCTCACTCGACAATTAGATCAATATCGCTGAGAGAGGCACTTCTTAACTGCTGAGAGAGGCACTCCTTAACTTTTACTGTTCAGTGCGATGCAGCTGTCGTGATAATCCTTCTTATGCCTAAAAATAAGCTCCAATGCCAGTTATCGAGTTCGCAACGATTATGTTGAGTCTAGTCATTCCTTCCTGATGGATACACTGGCGATCGTTTTTCGGGTTGTTGTGGTGCGGAATGCCGAGCCGCTAAACTCAATTACCGCTTTCGGGACGGCTCAACACATTCATAATCACAGCTTCTAGTAGAACACTCATAGGGATAAAATCTGCACTTCTGATTCGCAGAACGAGTTTTTTTCAGGTGCCGTGCTTCGGGAGAAAGAAGATGCCCACATCGCAGCTGCCATTCAGTATACGGTCGAATGGCTAAATCAGAGGGGTATTTACGGCGAGGTGGAATACCTCATCGACTACCTCGACGACGTCGACCATTACGACGCGTTAAAGAAAGGTGTGTTCAGCTAGAAATTCAAGTAAATTTCAGAAAGTGAACTGGACAGTGCATTTCTCCGATGATTTCAAAATTGCCAAGACCCTCTAGGTGCCTCAGGCATCTAACAGACTCACAGACGCTTACCTATGGAAGAGCTCGGCGACACTTGGGAGGGGGGGGGGAGGGTGAAGGCATTGTGCTTCCTCACTGCATCACTAGTTTCAGTTCACAAGTCTTGCCGTGGTGAAACGTGTGAACTCTTGTGAAGCTGGGATAAGCTCGTAGAGTTAATGTGGTGAAACTTTTCGACTTTTCTAACCTCATGAAATAGCCCTATAGATAAGTGGGCAGGTTCATGGGAAGCAGCAAAGAATGGTGTCAAGTATGTAGGCTTTTATAATCACAGAACAGTCGTAGATACAGCTCGAAAGTTGGCATCAGCACCGTAGTGTTGTGAAAGCACTGCTACAGGAAGATGTTGTCTTAGTGAAACTTCCCGACAGCAACCGAAACATCAACTTGCTCGCAACAGACTGTGCAGTCGCAACAGACTATGCAACAGACAGTACATAGTACATGACACCAGACTGCGTCATTTGCCCATATGGAAAGTTAGGAGATTGTGAAAAAGCTGGAGTAATTTATCAACTTGAATGTAGGGCTTGTAACAGCACGTATATCGGAGAAAGCAGGAAGGTTTCCAGCTACGCGCATCAGAGATCGACTAGCTGGGAGTAAGGAGTGTATTATGACCACTCCCCTTGGCAAGCATAAGATTGAGGAGCATAACGAGAACGAGGCGGAATGTTCTTCTAGGAAAGATTAGGAGTCATTCTGGATTTTCGCGAGAAAACCAAGAATGAACAACCGAAACGAGTGTCTGGCTATTACAAATGAATTCCTGCCGTTTGTATCAGAGTGCGAGCTACAGTAAGGACTACGTGCGCTATGACAATTTTGACACAATGAGACTCAAGTGAGACTCATTCGTCCTTACTGGTCCTACTAACACACAGCGTAGGTTGAGCTCAGCACGGTGACCTTCGGTAGAGTTGCGTGCAACTATGACCATATTTAGGAGCGTTCGTAACGTGGAAAACGCTGGAGTGGGGAAAGCTTTTGGTCGGGTAGGTGACAAAGTAACAGCCTCGAGCCATCGTCCAGCAGCGGCCACCAGCTTCTTTGAGAGTCCGTCAGCGCCTCGACCGATTAGTATGGGTCTTGATCAAGCGTCTACCAGTGCCTACCAGAATCCACTAGCGGTTAGGAGTAGAGACTATGGAGAAGTAGGAGGGTGGCAGGTCCGCTGTTAGAGTATGGGGAAGTAGGAGGGAGTAGGAGGAATAAGGCGTATCGAAATTGAGAATGCGAACCTGGCAACGTGCTACTACACAGCACCGTAATCCTGGTCGCTGGTGAACGCTGCTAGACGCTAGATCACTACTGCAATTTCCTAGCCGCTCGAGACGCGATGTTCGCTGGTCGACGCTGGTGGACGCTGGCTGACGCCGGTGGACGCTGCCGCAAAGTATGAACGCAGCCTGGCTTGCCGTATATGCCTCGCGACAGATACGGCAATATATGGATACGTATATATGCATCCGTATTGAGGACGTACTGGATTTTCTCCTTGTCAAGAATGAAAGTCGAACATGAACTTTTTTGGAATCTCTGCCAACGACTGCTATTCAGAAAAGTGAAGTGCGACTCGATGCAGCTGTTTAGACGTAATCATTCGCATCGTGGTTTGTGCCTGTTTTCATCTTTCCACTGGCTATGTAATAGTTTTTCCCTTCAAAATTTTGGCTTCGATAAGAAAATCTTATACTCTCAAAGTGAAGAAAATCAGGGGGCCTGTGAAGAAATGCTGTTTTTCCTGCTTGTTCAGAGTGCTTCTCCGATGTCATTCTGTAGAAGGGCTTCGTGTGTGTTGAAATCTTCAGGTAGGTTCATTGACTGATTTTCACTCAACTCATTTTGCTGGTCTACTATTCTCATTCATCTTCACAGTTTCTCCGTCCTCATTTTGTCGTTCTTTCTCATTTGTGATAAACCCAGCGGAGTGCTCACATTAGCGAATCTTAATCACTCCTGCTAAAAGATGTTGCTGGATAGAACCTTTTATTGACCTAACGTTTCGACTCTCCTATCTTCTTTATGGGCCTAAATATGGGTGAGCTTCTAATTTGCCGGCTAGCTGATCAAACGCCTTCCCCACCCAGACGCCTAGTCCCGAACACTTCCGAAGAAGAATTGCAATCAGGTCACCAAAAGTCTCGAAGTGTGGAATGTGGCTGCGGGTATTAGTATGATCAGTAAGGACGATAGAGTCTCACCATCACATTAAAGGCGAAGACCGCGGTCACTTGCTATCACAGATGTGGATTAGAGGTTTGCATATAGACGAAAATACGCTGAGCAACTCGATAGTGAAAAAAAAAAGCAGAAAATAACATACCACTGCCCAAGATAGAAACCCATTCCGACCCACATGACCCATTCAGATGCAAACGTACATGCCAAATTACGTCCGTCTCCAACTTACGCCCTCTTGCACAGAGTTGATTCACCACCGACAGAATCACTACGACCCGTACAAGTGACGATTTCAGGCTTTTCATGCGAGCGTCGTTTTGCATCTGAAAGGTTGGCTCTGAAGGGTGGGTATGGAGGCGGAGTCACTGGAGAAAAGGAGGCGTCACTAAACCTACCCTCGTCATCCGGGCAGTTGATTAGGGCGGTCGTCAACGGGCCGCAGCGCGTGCCAGGAACTATTTGCTTTTCCAGACTAATTTAGTCATTTTTTCCAACTTTTCACTGTTTTGGCTACTTTTTCCCAGATTAGCAGCTCCTTATCTTCACAAGGTGGAAAAAATGACTAAATTAGCCTGGAAAAAGCAAATAGTTCCTGGCACGCGCTGCGGCCCGTTGACGACCGCCCTAATCAACTGCCCGGATGACGAGGTTATATTTGCGCTAAGCGCTCTCCCTTGCAACTTTTAGCCGCGACACGGGCACAGGGTGGCTCCTCGCGGACCACGCTTCCCTAGGAAAGGTCGGAAGGATCAGCTGTCATCTTTGCATACTTATAGCTTGCTCGATGTTCGAAAGAAGATGATCGTGTTATTGCTCTTGTTGGAGGCTCGCATTCCCTTCTCAACGCTCAACTGGAAAGACTCACGGATCAGGTAAGCCGCTTAAATATCACTAGATTAAAAATCTGACGGAGTTCTACTCCTATCCAACCAGTTAGTGAATGCATCAACAAATACTGTGAGTAACATCAGGAAAATGGTTATTTAAGCTCGATATTCCGCTGCTGACGGCGAGCGATGACGTTGAGCCGAGCGCTGGAAACACTAAGGTAGGGTTTCGTCACTGTACTCACGATGTACAATCTTATGTTAGAACGATGTTGAAGCATTGAAAGCTCCTTAACAGTTCCTCTTCAACCTCCAGCACCTTCAAGAGATCTCACAAAAGGTCCAGCGAATTTCGCAGCTCCATTCGCGAATTCTTCACGACCTTATTCGCTGCGGGTGATGAGGCTGTCACGGGGCATGATTTTGCTAGACCCAGTCCTTTCTTTTCCTTCGGCAGACACAAGACTGTATCATAGCCTTCGTATCTTTTCTCCGCCGTGAATTTGCCGTTACCGCCTTCGAGCAATTGCGTTAGATAAGGTTTGCGTGCGTCAGACTTCATCCGCGCGCTACCCTTTATCCAAAGAGAAAATGAAGTCCGGAAAACGGCTGTGAGAAAACATTTCGCTTGGTGACAGGGATTGTGGATGGTGTATACAACAGAAATCACTGTGCAGGCATCGGAAACATATTTCTAAACTTTTACGCAACCTCTGCCGGTACTATACCGAGGTTTTCCTCTTGGGAAGGTTAGTGTTTTCTTAGGTCTAGGCCATAGAAACATCAGTGCATGTTCGCTCTCTCTCTGAACATGAACAATAGGATAACCAGACATTGCCACTATAGTCGCGACCACAGTGAACAAGTTTCGTGACGATTTGTTCCAGCGCTAAACGTAGGAACTGAAGTTCTACACGTAATGTCGACTGAAATAGTTAAGAAAGCTTTCCGGCCATACGAAAGGCCGACCCCCTGGGTCGCGAAGCATGAACCGCTTAGAAACGCTGTAATTCTCCCTCTAGTGGGGACGATAACAGCGAGAAGCCCAGAGCACGATTCTTGCAGCAAAGCGTCTACCAATCTGATCGCATATGATTCGAACACTTAGAGTTCTGAGCATTATAAAGTGAAATCCCACAACGTAGTTGAGTACAACAATGATTCCTGCATTTTCCTGAGTCGGGATAGGCAAAACTGTCAGGAAAGGCTGTACCGGTTGGCTCCCAAGGGCGCCGCCGCTACGTCCGCCTAATACATGTGCAGGAGGCAAAAAAAAGTCACTTCGACCGAGTTACATATCAGCAAAGTTTTCGCTGCCCAGACAAAGGACGTGGATACGAGTGCCAGGGCGGAAGATACATAAGATGTTCCTCTACAAGCAGGAGCTGGCTCTCGCCCATCACCTTCATGTACGCCAAAACATGAAGTCATCTCCAGCCTGACTTTAGAAGACCTTTGGAATTCACGTCACCTCCAAACAGCTGCGAAACTTCTAGCATGGAGTCACCCATGGATAGCTACCTGGAGACGAGTGCTCTCGATCTGGACGACCTCCAACATCGAGCGCCTCCACAACGTCGCCAGTCGTAGACATCATCTTCACACATCGTCAAGGCCCGCGGTGTGATGCTATGGACCGGAAACGTTCCTGGAATGGCGCACGACCAATATTCTTCGGGACCCCGGACATAAAGGTAGCGCTGGCGGTCACATCGAGCAACTCGTGAAGAATATCCTCCTAACATGTCGTCGCCCGCACCTTCTTGCAAACTTTGTACTGCTACAAACGCATTGGCGCCACCAACATGAAATTGAAAGGCTTGGAGAAAACACCTCGCCATACTTGCGAATGGAAGACGGTGCGCTACCCAAACGAGAAGAGGAATATCCAATTAGGTCACCTGACCTGAATCCCTTCAATTACTCGGTTCGGGCGGAGTTCAATAGGGTGGTCTACGGTGGCGGAGAAATCGACTAGCTCGCTGATCTCAGGCACCATATCGCGGTCGCGCGCCAGAATCTCTCGATGTCCAAAAGTCTGTGGCGGAGTGTCATGATAATAATTTCAATATGCTCTTTAATATGGTGGTGAAAATGTCCGATGAGAATTCAATAAAGTGTAATTTATAGCGCCTCGAAAGTCAATGAAGAAAAGTGACTTTTTTGCCCCCCCCCCTGTAGTTTGCAGGGATCATGACTGAACATTTGCTAGTTTACTCTTCCGCCAATATCTTTTGAAGCCAGGAAATTTTCGCTTTTCATAGATTGCGTTCTTTCCTCGTGCCCAGCTGTTTGAAGCGATCGTGGATCTGTTCCGATACTGGCGATGGAATCGCATTACAATCGTATATGAAGAAGACAACCGTTGGTTGCAAAAGAATCTTTTATCCTTCTCTTCATCTCCTCATAGCATAGTGATTTTACCAACATTTGGATATATTTTCTATCTAATTTGTTCCACTCTAGGCATCCGCAGGATAGAACCGTTGCTGGAAAGTGATACCTATTCGAATATTCGATTTCAAGTCATCAAAGTACAGAATGGAGACTACATGAGGGCAGCTAGGGAAGTAAGCTCTAGCTAAATTTTCAATCACTGTTTTATTTTTTCACTGTAATATGTCCAGCTCACTTAAAAAACGAGATATCTCATTTTGAATTAAAATCTCCCATTTGTTTGTCGTATAGGCAAAAAGGCAGAAGCTCCGTCTGTTGCCCCCCCCCCCTGATACTGTCAGAGACCTCATCCTGGTCGCGCCGTGCTGGAAAATACAGTACCGGACATTGTCACATCGTAGTGAAAACTATATGAAGGTCTTAAAGGTGTTTGGACCGAATGTTTCAATTTTCTGAGTGACTGACCTCTATTTACTCTAAAAAATCAACAAATCTTATAACTGTGCGAACTGCGTGTGTACATACGTGGCCCTATTAGTTGGGGCCAGGATGTGTTATTGGGGGTGCCAAGTCGGCTTTTCCACCAATGAACCATACTGAGCAATCAACTAATAGAGAGGCTGTCCTGGCTGTGCTCCATTCCACGCCCCGTTTGCAGGGACCATGGCTGCAGTTTTAGGCACAGATCAGTTGCCGCAGTTCCGAAGAATGGTCAAAAATGGAGCAGACAACTAAAGGGATGAGAATGAGAAGACCGTCAACAGAAACAATCGATCTATTGAGAGGAGACTATAGGAGTGGAAATGCCATGGCCAGGGCGATCCCTGTGGGCGTTGACCGCTTCTAACAAGGCGATTTTATGGGAGTCTCCCAGTTCACGCAGCCTTGTTCGCTGCAAACACTGGGGCATCTCAGAAGGATTTGTTTGTGCGATGCAAGCCAGTTTTACAGTGTGGTGGCCTTCTTCCACAGTTGGTGATGAAGAGAGTGATGCCGCGCTCAACTTCCACAGTTGGTGATGAAGAGAGTGATGCCGCGCTCAATCCAGAAACGCCCCAGCGTCCGCAAAGAACAAGACTGTACCTACTGCCGCCCCTCACACCTTGCAGGAAGCCTGAGCACAAAAAACCCGCTGAACTGACGAAAGCGAATGTCATTATATGCGGTATTGTAGGTAAAAGAAATGGAGGAGTGTCGCTATCAGGCCCGGAAGGACTGCAACGATGTCAACAGAGTTCTACTAGACCTCAACCCTGAGCACACATACAATTTCCTATTGGCAGTACGTTTTCCGTTCGCTTCCTTGTCTGTTGGTTGTTCTCAAAATCCCAGACAATTCAGGCTCTGCCAAATGGGTCTTATCGATCTCAAACACTGGTTCCTGCTCACCAATATGGTAAATATTTACGCTGTCGGTCTAGTAAGACCCCGTTTCTTTTCTGCCCGCATATAAATAGTCATTCATTGAATGCAAGTATAATTCCGGAAATATTTTCATCTTTTGCTTCAGGAGCTGTCGTCGATGAACATGGACCTGTTCAGTTATAATCATGCCCGATATGTGTCACCATATCCAGTCGACGGGACATTCCTGATGGAAAGCAAGCACATGTTCAACTTCACTCAGTTTCAGCAGCATGTCCGTCAGAAGTGGAATACGAAAACAGCAAATAACAGAAATCTGAAAATGGTTAGCACTTACTTACTGCTGCGTGACAAGAGAATCGTAATTCGCCGCGCTGATAGGCATCGCGTGCGACGTCGCGCCCACAAATGACGATGGTTTCAGGTCGTGGGCTACAACAGGCAATGTAGTAGCGAAAATAGCCATGAATGTCTACAGTTTCGTAGCCTACGTGAAATCCGGTGGCTAACACGAACTATGAAAACGCCGCGCGCGGCGGAGCGGCAAACGATTACGATTCTCTTGCCCGTCTCCTCTGCTGCAAGCACTCTCTGACTAACAAGGGGGGGAAATGAAGGATGATGAAGGGGATAATGAAGGAATAAATTGGTAGGGAGCATTAAATTACCAGTTCAAACTACACTGCGTCCCAAAAGTATAGTTCCACCCATAAATCTCACAATATCCTGCCCTACACGGCGTTTTCGAAAAAGCCTTCAGATAGAAAATGTGGTAATTACCAGTGCCAATATTGCATGCCAACACCGAGAACTAACTTTCCAGAGCAACTTCAACTTTTTTTTTTGAAAATTTCTCACTTTGACAATGTCCCAAAAGTATAGTTCCACTAAAGTATAATTTACTGCAGTCCCATTCCTTCGATTAAGTTGGGAAATGTGGTTGTTATGCTCGAATAGGGGTTTCAAATCAGTTTTCGGTCGATCGACATGCTGCCATGTATTAAATTGATAAGAAAGTGATGACCC